GCTGCTGCGCCTTCCGCGCTCCCCCGCCCTGCTGCTGACATCCTGAGCGCGCCCGCGGGAGCACAATGAGCCCCTGAGGAGCTCGCGCGCGGCGTTGAGACGATGGGCATGTCCGCTGAGGAGGAGCACGCCGCGAGCCCCAAAGGTAAGGGGACAGCACGCTCCCCCAGGGACCTGGCGTCCGGGGCCGGGGAGGGCTGCAGGCTCCGGCAGCGCATCTGCAAGGCTAGGGGCTCTCCGTGGCGCCCGCGCTCCCCCAGCCTCTGCCTCCCCGTCTGGCAGACCTCTTCCCCACGCCAGGGCCAATGCCGGCTGCCCTTGGGTGGAGGGAAGCCCAGCCCTGAGTGCTGGCAGTGCCAACGGCAGCGGGCTGGGATCATCCCTTGCTGTGATCTCCCCTCCTTCCTGGTGAGCTACCTACCTTTTTAGCACTTGCTGGGGACAGCTCTACTTACCGCACAGCTCCTCCCCAAACCCATTGGTTTCCCCAGAGCCCATGCTCCAGGCCCAGCAGCAGTGCAGGACCCTGGCTCTGGACTGGGTGATGTTCTTGCAGGGCTGTGGACAGTCCTGAGCTGGGAGAACTTCTGCAGAAGGGAGGAAACAATGAATCCAGGTGCTGGGGATGACGGCGAGCATGTGATAACTGTGCCAATTCTCAACATCTGGTGCTTCAAAGATGGCCATAGTTTGACCTGAGCATATCTGGGGCTGAGGCAGGACACAGTGTCCCCACGCAGGCACAGCCAGTGCCTTTGGGAGAGCCACAAAGCCAGGAGCCTCCTGGCCTCAGCTGGCTCTGCCTTCACAAGCACAGTTGCCCAGACAAGGGTAGCCCCAGGGCCCTTCAAATCAACCCCTCTGGGGACTTCTTCTTCGTGTAGACAGACGGTGCAAGCTGCCTCCCTGCTGACTCATTGCTAGGACAGTTCTGCCAAGGTCTCCTAGGTGGTGTGAGATCCTGACCCCACTCAACAAGAGGACAGGACACACTCTCAGCCTGGGTGACAACCTGAGCTGGCAGGGCAGTTTGCAGCTCCTTGGGGTAGTCCTCTGCCACAGCCCCGACCTGTGACCCTGGAACCCTTCTCAGGACCCTCCTGGAAAGGGCTGCTTGCTGCCGTGCTCCTCAGCTTCCCACATCTGTGTGTGCTAGAACATCCGCTTGTGGACAGTTTCCTGCCTCTGGCCTTGGGAGCCCTTCCTGTTCCACAAGGAGAGGCCCATTTTGCTCATTAACCCCTGGCTTCACCAGCAGATGAGGAATGGCCAGAAGCAGAGAAGGCTGAGAAATTAGCAAGAGGAGCTGCTCTGAAATGGGCTTCAGGGGTGTTTTACCGCCCCGAGAAACTGGAGGCACTTGGGCAGTATCGGAGCCGAGAAACAAAGAGGAATAACTCCATCCAGGCCCGTCTGAAGGTGGGTTTTTGCCACATCTCATCTGAAGAACATCCACAGCTTGACCCTCTCCCAGTGCAGGGACCTCAGCCAGGGTATGGTCTTCTGCATCAACACTTTTTGTTTGTTTATTTTTTTTTTCACTTCTGGAGAAAATCTTGTCCCTGCACTGGTTGTAAGTGGGAGAATTACAATTGTTTTGAGGACAAGAAGTGGTTAAACCTCTCCTGCCCTAACCCCAGGTATTGACTGAAGTGTTGAAATGTGTATTAAAAGCAAAATGCTAAGGGTGCTCCATATATCCCATGTACAGGAGTCAGTGCATCTCTTTGCTGCCCTATCCCAGCCCCAAGGGCTCCCCTTACCCATGGCTGGGAGACAGTGAAGAGTTCTAGCTCACCCCATCCCTGCCTGCAAATATCCACAGAAGAAACAGAATTTCAATATGTAGAACTAAGGGATTTAACTGGTCCCTGTGTACATATATATTATGGTCAGGGTGACCCTACTATCCCCTTTTAAATGACCTGAAGAAAGATTGGCCTGTGTGATCTGAGCACCCTGAACCTTATCCTGGCTATGCTGATTTTGGAGATGCTTTATCCTGCCCAAACATGCAGAAATTATCCAGGAGAGGGCTCATTTTAATGAAGGTGGCCACAGAGAAAACAACTTGTTTCTGTCAATGACAGGTAAAAATACTTCTTCACATTAAGAACCAGGGGCATTAAGAACCAGAGGGCATGGAGATGTACCAGTGCCACTATGAGGCTAAAAAGATGGAAATACATTTTGGAGGAGCACTTGTGTGGCCACTGAGGTGTTTCACACCATTGGTCTGTCTGGGGGACCCAGTGCAGGACTGTGGCATGCAAATATTTTGCAGAAGCAAAGTGTATTTTTAAAGCTGAAAGCAGACATCTGATTACTGCTGGGTGATCCCCTTCATGCATGCAATCCTGCTCTGTGACTCGTTTACCCAGGTGGAAGGTAAAATGGGCCATTCCTGTTGCTCAAGCAGGTTTCTTCAGGCTGGGTGTATAAGAGGGGAAGAGTGGGGTGGGACACGTGGGAGATGTGATAGCATGATGTGAGAGAGTGGGAGACCACATGCTGCAGAGGCCTGGCAGGGCTGGAACAAAGTATGTTCAAGTCCTGCATCCTTACAGAGCTTCTGCTCTGCCTCCTTATGCTCTTTTTCTCCCCAGTCTACAGTCCAGTCCTACCTGGAAGGGGTGAGCGCAGGGCTGGAGCAGCTGCGGTCAGCGGCCAAGGAAGTGCAGAACGTGTGCCAGGACCTGGGAGCTGCACGGTGGGCCCTGATAGATAGTGCCGAGCACTTTCAGGTCTTACAGCAGATGCGGACACTGATGGCAGAGCATGTGCAACTGACCTCAGTGGTCAAGGTGCTGCCCCAGCTGTTCTCGGGTAAGGTATTGGCCCCATCCATGGGAATTTTGACTGGAAGGCACTTGGGAGAGCTCCAGTGCCACTCTGGGCTTTATGCAGGCCTGGTGGCAAAGTTAGAGCAGGTTGCACAGACCTCATCCATTTGGGTTTGGAAAGTCTCTGAGGATGGAAATGCCACTGCCTCTCGAGGACCTGCCCCAGCACTGTTTTCACAGAGCCCCAGGTCTCAGACCCTTTCCTTTGGGAACCCCCTTCTAACCCATGCCCACAGCCTCAGTGCCAATCCCCTTCTTCCCCAGTGCTCAATCCTGTCATTTCTTCTCCCTCTCTCACAGTCCATGAGGTTTTTTCCCATACGCTGCAGCTGCTCCATGAGCAGCACCTGCTGGAGGCCCATGCTGAGCTCATGATGTTGGAGCACCTCCGGGATGACATCCTCTTCCAGCTACATCTCCGTGGGCTCTCCAGTGCCCAGGCCACTGTGCTGTCCTATTTCAGTGGCCTGCAGGAGCTCAACGAGAGCCTGGCCAAGCAGCTGTGGGGCATTGTGGGTCACAGCCTTCAGCTAGTGCGGGAGGACCCAGTCCTCTTTGTCTCTGCTGTAAGGATCATCGAGCGTGAAGAGAAAATAGATGATGCTCTGCTCCTGGATGCCACCTTCCTGCCCCCTGGCCGCCCTAAGGGATGGAGGCAGAAGTTTTACCATATCCTTCAGGAGACCATTACAGGATCCCACTTCCTCACTGCCTGTGTGGACACCACAGGCCCAGGGCTGTCCAGACACCTGGCAGCACTGCAAAGAGAAGTCGTGGCTGAGCTGCATGTGGTGAAGGACCTGATGGTGCAGTGTGTTCCAGCTCACTACAACATTCTCAGCATCTGCACTGCCACGTACCACCAGGCCCTCACCAGCCATCTCCAGGACATCCTCCAAGAGGACCTGGACAAACAGGCACTTTTCCTCCTCCTTGAGTGGGTGCTCCATGTGTACCAAAGGTCAGTGCCAAGCCTGGCCCTGTGATCAGGGAAAGTGAGCGGAGCTGAGTTATGTCACTGACACGCGGACAGGACAAAAGAGTGGCTCTGGGTTCCTGGAGAGGAAAACCAGGAGGGTAGAAAGGGAGGGAGGAACTCCTAAACCACAGGTCTTCCCAGTCCTGTCCCACTTGTGCCTTCCAGCCCAGAGATGATGAGTCACCCTGGCCTCCTCCCAGAAGTGGATGTTTCAGCTCTGGGCCCCTTGGTCTCTCCTGACCTTGTGGATCAGACAGAGAGGAAATATGTGGTGAAAGTCAAGGTAAGTGAGCAGAGTAACATGTCTACAATGGATGGGGAGCATACAGCCATGCCTACTGTCCCAACTTCAACAGCAGCATGAACCCCTGAAGTGTGGGACAAGCAGCATGAGGTGTGACATGGTGCTGTGCTAAGTGTTGGGTCTGAAGGGACTCTCTGGGCTGGCCATGGTGGGTGTCTGTCCCACAGGCCAGCGTGCTTGAGTGGATGCAGAGAACCCTGGAAGTGGAGTTCAAGGAGTGGTTCAGGGAGGAAGAGCCTGAGAAAGATCACCAGGGCTTCTATCAGTCAGCCCTGCCCGTCATTGTCATGCAGGTGGGTCCCCGGCACTGCAGGCTGGCACCAGCATCTTGTGCCCTCACACTGTGCTCCTTGTGGCCCTGAGAGGTAGTCAGGCTCTCTTCTTCCCCAGCCTGAGCTGCCACCAAGAGATGGATGGATGCACAATGCTCCCTGAGGAGCAGGTGGAACAGGGCCATGCTGAGAGCCTCCCAAAAAGGAGGGCATGGGTTGCAGCTCTCACTGATCCCCATTGTGCCCTCCTCTCCCTTTGCAGATGCTGAGCGAGAACATCCAGGTGGCCTCCCTGATCACAGCCTCTCTGCAGCAGAAGGTCTACAGCATGGCTATGGAGGAGCTCGAGGCATTTCTGGGCCGGTCAGTGGAGCCCCCCCCGCCATGGCCTGGGCATTCTCACAGCCCCCAGGCCTTGACAGCTTGCCGCTGCAGACTGATGGCAGAGGTTTGCGATGAGTGCCCAGTGCTGATTAAGGTTACAGTGGGCTCTAGCGGCCGATCTGCCCAGGCTGATTGAGGAAATTTTCTCAGCTTCCAGGAACCATTAGCTTCCTGGGGAGCTGCTGTTCCAAGAGCCTGTCTGGTAGCACTGAGACCTTCTAGTAGCACTGAGGCTTGCTCTCGCAAGGGTTCCAACCCTATCCTTCCTTGCTCCGTGTTCTGTCTCTCTCCAGCCTTCAGCGGGGCCTGGGAAGTGACATAAAAGCTGGGAGGGTTGCTGGGAGGCCCATGTGCCTCCAATGGCCGCAGGGGCATTCTGGGTCCAGGCACTCGTGGGTAGATGTCTGTGGTTCTGCCCATGGTGGTTCCCTCGCTGTGCTGCAGTCTGCGGGAAGCCCTAGTGCGTTGTGGGAAGGAGCACCAGAAGGACCGCACTGTACCCAAGTACTACGTCCCCTACCTGCTCGCCATGCTCAACAACAACCTGGCTCTCAGGTAACATGCTGCATTCCCAACCCCACTGTGGCTGCCTCTCAGAACAATTCTGCTCCTCATGAGGAGGCCATATCCTCCCCAAGTCCCTTCCAAGCTACTTGCAGGGCCAGCGTCCCCACTGTGCTTCCCATTTTTCTCTCTCTCCTAGCTCCTCTGTCTCCTCTTTGCACCCTGATACTGCCCACAGGGAAGTCCCCACATCCCTCCAGGCTGCTCTAGACAGGACACAGAAGAAAGCCTGCCAACTGCTGCTGGAGGAGCTGCTCCTGGAGCTGCAGGTTTGTGTGTCTGCAGCTCCAGACACTGACAGGACTGAGCCAGCCCTCTCCTCGGCAGGAACAGCACCAGTGCAACAGCCCCAGACATGGGGCCTGTTCCTGCCCATGATACCGACCACATTCCCTGCCTCATCAGGCTGCATCTGGCCTCTTATCACCCTCCACATGTCTCTGCTGGCCTGCCTCTCTGGGCCTTGGTAAACCAAGGGCAGCTCCCATGGTCTGCTGCCAACCAGCAGTGTTGTATCACTTGGGCATACAGCAAATGGCCACAAGTCAGTAGCTGACAGAGACTGGGAGCCACAGTCTAGCTGAGCTTCCTCATTCTTGTTTTTATGGCACTTCATGACAGAAAAGCAAACGGGAGAAAGGCAATGGCTGTGTGGAGGATATGAGCCAATGTGCAACTGCCCAAGTCATTTCCTGCCAGCGTTGTCATATCTAGCATCCCTGGAGGCTGGATAAAATCTGGGAAAAAAAAAATAAGGCAGAGCTATTTAGTGCTGTAAGGGGCACGCTATGAAAACAAAGGAGCAGCTAAAAGATGAAATACTCCCAGGCAACATGGAGACTGCCATGGCCCCAGCAGAGCTGCAGGCCTCCAGGCAGGGAAAGGGCAAATGTAGCCTGAAAGGACAGCAGGGGAGGAGGAGGTCAACAGGGCAGGCCAAAAACACGTGCAAGGGGCAGCTCGCTGCACCAAGCCTCAGCTGCTACCCATGGTGGGGTGCCTAGCAGTGACAGTGAACTCAAGAACCTGATGAACACCCAAAACACTGATTGCCAGGCATCAAGGCAGCCTGAGAAGGGCAGCCCCAGTGTATTTCCATACTTCTAATCTAGCCCAATCCTATGTTTTGAAATTGACTTTTGGCTGGCAGGGCCCCTTTTAGCAAGGGGATTGGGAGTTTTGCAAAGCAGATGGGCTGCAAGGAAGCAGCAAGGCAGGTGCTATGGGATGTTGTGCTGCCCCTTGACTGACAACTACTGCGAGGGCAGTGCAGTGCAAGGCACCTTATACTGTGCTTGTGCTTCTTTCAGCCCCTGTGCATGCAGCTGCCTTCTCGAAAGTGGCTCTCTGGGTCCCAGCTGGTCAGCAGCATGTGTGAAGTGATAGACAAGTATGCAAAGGACTTCTCCTGCGCCAGGAAACCCATCTTCATGGTACAGTTGCTGCAGGGCATCCCTCATGCACTCTCCCAAGTGCCTGCTTATCTGCAGGGAAGGATGTGAGCCAGTTGGGTGCCATGCTGCCATCCCTGATGCAGCCCAGAGCCAGCCCCTCCCCTGGGAGGGCAACAGGGATGGCGGGGCCACCTCTTGCTTGAGGAGCAGTTTGATTTTGCAGAAAGTTCCCAAGTATCGGTCACCGCAGGATGTGCTGAAGAGCACGTCTCCTTAGGAGTAGCCCAGAGGGCACCATCACATAAAGACACTGTGGGTTTCCGCCCAAGCTCAGCTGGCCTCTCTACCCCTCTGGCCAAGGAAAAGGGGCTTCCCAGTTGGCTGTTGCCTCTCCTTGGCATTGCATTTGGTCTTCTCCTCTGCCTTTTGTCCCCAAATCCATGCCTAGCCCCAAGCCCCATGTCTGGAGTGTCCATGGCAAATGACTCTCCCCTGCCCTGGTGCCCAGGTCCTGCTGATGGAGAGCGAGCGCCTGGTGACAAGCCAGTACCTGCGGGCACTCATGCAGAAGAAGATGGTCTGCAGAAGTGCGGAGGAGCGGGGCCAGCTCTGCGTGCGCCTGCTGCAAGATGCCACCCAGCTGCGGGAGCTCTTTCATGGCCTGGTGAGAAGCAGCTTGGTGAGGGCAAGGAGCCACGGCTGGGCCACAGCACAGGCCCCTAGGGAGGGCTGTGCCCTGCTCAGGGAATAGCTTGCAGTTTGACTCCATCACCCTCCTCTCTTCCCCCTGCCTGCCCCAGCACACGGAAAGAGGCCCTGAGCCCACAGGCAAGGCAGGGATGTTACAGCCAGTGTAAACAAAGGGGAGGTGAAGCCAAGATGGGAGGAACTGGCTGGATTAAGAACCTGCAGGACGGTCAATCCTGCCCAGCACAGGCTGTTGAGGCTGCAAAGCCTTATACAAGGCTGAGGCACGGTGCTAGAAACCAAGTCAGCTGAGACCGCTGCAGCCAGGAGACACAAGTCACAAGCACCCTACTGGGGAGGGGCACAGGTTGGGTCCCCACCTGGACCTGGGTGACCACCCTGAGGGCTGAGCTGCACCTCTGCTGTCTGCCACAGCAGCTACCTCCCAGACAGCCCGTTCTCCCTCACAGGGCCTGGACAGGAGACAGCAGAGCCTGGAGGTTGTGTTTGCCCTGCGAGAGCTGATCTGCCTCAAGGACCCAGCACTGCTCAGCCTGGAGGTCCTGAGCTTCATCACCAAGTACCCTGATGTCAGGTAGGAAACCAAGCTCTGCTCACCCGTGAATTGGAACAGATACAACTCTGCTCAGGGCAGCCAGGTTTGGGCTGGGCTTCATGGGGTTACCCTGTAGAGTGTATAGAGACCTTTTTCCCTCCATCCCTCAGGTTTCATTTTTTCCATGCTCCAAATTTGAGAGATTCTTGCAAAGTCCTAAGGGCAAAGATGTAAAGAAAGAAGCAGTCCCGCTGTGACCTTCATCTCCCTGTAGTTGGTGGTCAAAGGAAAAAAAAAAAAAAAAAAAAAGGGGGGAGAAATCACTAAGTACCAAATTGGGAATGTCATAATGAAAACAAACCTACAAAATGTCAAACTCAAGAATCACAAGGTTTGCAGGGTTATTTTCAAACAAATGTTGAATTTTGGCTTGTTTTAAGTGCCAGATCTATCCTAGCTTCAGCTTTGCTTCCTTGGGTCGTGGGAGGTTTGCAGTGGGGGAAACCAGCATTACAAGTGGTGAGCCATGAGGGCCCAGCAAATGGCATGCAGGGTTGCAAAGGATAACGCCATGAGCTGGCAGCGCTTGGGCTCACCTGCTGCTCTGACCAGCGATGAGCACATCTCCACCTTGCTGGATCTCCGGGGCGACGTCTCCAAGGAGGTGCGACACATGGTGTTGGAGATGATGGCACAACACCCCCAGGCCCTGCCTGACGACTACCAGCCCATCTTCAGCATAATCCTGGTACCTGCACCAGAGCTGCCTTTCTGCCTCCGCAAGGGCAAATGTGCCTGATGCGGGGTACCCCAGCGTGCTCCCCTGCTTCCCTAGACGTACGGACCAAGCAGGGCATCTATAAAGCTGTATTTGGGGCAGAATGGAGATGACATGTGGCATCCCCCATGAACACCACCCACATCTGGGTTGGCAACAACCTGACCATACGCTCTGGTCTGCTCCTGTGGTCTTGCCTCACTGAATAATTTCACCACTACCTCCCCCTGGCCAAACACCAGTGCTAGTAGACCTGGAGCAGGAGAAGGTCTATGGGTCTTTTGCCTGCCTGCTGAGGTAGTGATTTGGGGGTGGTTGGGGCTAGCCTGTTGCTAGCAGAGGAAGGGAACAGAGACCACCAGTGGGGTGAACAGTGACCATGAGGTTGTAGAAATTTGGGGGTTCCCTTGAAAGACCAGCCAGCCACCTGAAGCAGTGTGTGCTGGCCTTTGATTCTCTAATCATTTTGGCTCAAGGTGAGCTGGAACCCTGCTAGACCCAGGCTTGCAGGAGAGTTTTAGGCATGAGGGCTTCTTTCATTCGGTACCGCTTGGCTCAGCTCAGAGGTTGGGTCTGCCCTCCCTGTTGTATCAGCCCTGACCCTGCATGGAACTGGGGAGGAAGCGAAGTGTCTTGTGCATTCTGCACTCTTGAGATGGACTGCAGGGTCCTCTTCTGCCATCGCCTCCTGCCCTATGCTGCTCCTGGACTGCGTCCTTGTGCCCAGCCCTCATTGCATGTGGGACAGCAGGAGAAACAGGTTCTTTTGCCAGGCCCCCCATGCTCTGCTGTGCTTCCTGCCTTGCTGCGGGACTGACCTCGTGCTCCCTGTCCTGCACAACTGCTGGAAATAAAGGGCTGAGCTCTGCAATCACTCACCAGCATCTGTCCTCTATTCCTTGGTGGCCCAGGGCAGGAAATGGATCTGGGGGTGACATAAGGATGGGAATCCATCCCCATGTTCAGCGTCGCCCCGGGGATGACTCCCCCCACCCAGTCCACCCAGGGGAACATAACCCAGAGCTATGAGTGATGGTGGAGCTGCTGTATCATCTGTATTGGAAGCAGGTGGGAGAGAGGACGGAAGGAAGCAGTTGGACCATTCCCCAGAGCACTGTTCCCAGTGAGAAGGGCATCAAGAGGCGGCTGCAGCACGGGAGCAGCGAGGTGGGGACCAGCATCAGGAGGGTGCATCCCATCCCTGGGTGGTTGGCCATGCTCTTTCCCAGTTGTTGGTGTCCTTTTCTTCCCTTCAGGAGAACCATGGCTCTCAGCTGGCTGGAAGAGAGCTGCCCTCCCCACCTCTGTCCCACTGGGCTCTGGGATATGCTCACCTGTTCTGGGGACACTGTTCAAGGCCCTGAACCCTGGGAAGTGCCAGCCAGGACATGCACTGCTGCAGGCAAACCCTTCCATGGCGATGCAAGGAAACTTGGCTCAGGCACCAAGCAGATCTGATATAGGCCTGGTGAGGGGGCAAACAGGGGACCGTACCTGTCTCTGTGGCTCCAGCACTGTCAACTTCTTTGCTATCCCAACCTGTGTTCAAGCAGAGCTCAGCCCCACAAACAGCTCTGCTACCGCCGCCTGTCAGGGTCCTGTAGCCTGTAATGAGAACTCACACCACCTTTTGGTAGCAACAGCTGAAAGGGGACAGCGGTTGGCAGGTTTTGGGCTGTCACTGCTGTTTACAGGTGGGAGCAGATAAGGACAGTGACCTTGCCTTGCCTGGCAGGGACCACACAACTCCTGGCTGCTCCAAAGCGGGTGGCACTGCAGTGTCCTCTCGAGACGGTGTTTCTGTGGGCAGCCCCCAGCCCTGCCCTCAGCAGCGCTGCCTCGGGCAAGCGCTGCCCGCAGCAGGACACCTGCCTGCAGAGCTCCCAGGCAAGGGGAGCTCAGCAGAGCTTCCTGGTGCCCCTGCGCCTGCCAGCAAGAAGCTGAGCTGGAAGTCGAGCATCCCACTCCAGGCAGTAACGAAGCGGCAGCGTTGGCTTTTGCCCGGCGCAGCACTTGGTTCCTTTCTGCTTGCTGCAGCACGGATGGGGCTCTCACCCAGGCCCAGTTCCTCACACGGCCAAGACGACAGTCCCTTGTGCGGCACTGCTGCGTGCTGAGGACCTGCCACAGCCCTCCCGCTGCACTGCAGCCTCTCTGTCCAGCCTGCTCTTATGCCAAAGCATCTATGAATCTAGGTGCTCCTCTCCCAATCTCTGCACCTCCTAGAGCTGCAGGATGGTACCAGATTATTTTTCTTTGCAACCAAGGAAAGTAAATGACATTTTCAGAAGGGCCTGCTCAACATCCAAACGGTGATTTCCCACAGGCGGCTGAGTTCCCCAGACAGGAGCTTTAGCTAAATGTCACCCCAGGGGACACCCTATCCCCTGCACGAGGTCTCCCTCGCACAGCTCCTAGCCTACTAAGTATATTTAATAAACCCTGAGTAAGCAAGCAACAGCATTTCAGGCATTTTGGCACTTTCTTGCTCTTGTCTAAGAGCAATGAGAAGCTCTCAGCTTTCAGTACCTTCAGCAGGCATTCGCGCCCAGGAAAGCAGAGCCTCTCAGCTGTCAGCACTCCACCAGCCTGGAGTCACGACAAGAGAGCTATCGGATACAAAGAATACATTTACATGTTTAACAGACTGAGTACACAAAATAAATAGCTCTGTACACTCTAATCATAATGTTACAGACTAATCACAATGGTTCCTCATTCTGCAAGACAAGCCTTAGTGTAAAAACAGGAGTCAAAGGCAAGTCACAGAACTGGAGGCTTCTCAAGACAAGCAGCCTATTAGGAGATGAACAGGACATGACAGGATGACTGCCAAGCAGTTCCAAGCCAGCACAGGAAATTTGACAACCAAAAATAACAGCGAGCATCGGAAGACCTCCAGTCCTGAGAGCTTCCTGGGAAGTGTCTTGTGTAGTGACAGGCAACAGGAAAACCCACAGCCTCTGTGCATGCTTGTGGTAGGTGCTTATTTCTCACACACTGTCTAGTTTGGACCAGGATCAACAGATATCTCCAGCGCAACACACTGACAACAGCAGCAAGTAGCTTGTCCCTCACACACAAGGAGAAAGTTCATCTGACACACAGGAACCTGCCTCCGCAGCACCCGAGAGCTGCATTTTTAACCCAGGCTCAGAGAGGAGACTGAGTGGTCAGAAAAAGCGTCACAAAACCTCTGAAGAGCAGTAACCACCACCCGGGGCTGGTTATCCAGCACTGAGTGGAATGGGCGCTTTGTTCCATTTTCCAGGAGGAATCTGGGCCCACGCACTGCATGGGGGACTGGGACACAGACTGGGACTGGCCTCACCACGCATTCAAGGGCCCTCTAGAGTACACTAATAGTGGGTAACATTTTGCGACTCCTCCAGAGGGTCCGATCCCAAACGACCCAGTTTCTTCCTCTTCAGCATTTAAAATACTAAACGAAGTCAAAAAAGTTGAGATTTATTGTAAAAACAAACAAACATACAAAACCCAACAAAACCCCTCCCAAGAGCTCAGAAGCTGCAGTACAATCACCGAGAGGAGGCCTGTGACCCCACGCAGTCCAGTAACAGGCCTGTTACTGCTACACTGCACGAGACGATTTCTTTACAGGGTACAGCGCGCACAGCGACTCTCACACCGCCGCGGCAGGTAAGGCTGGCTGGACTGCACAGACGGGGACGACACAGACAATGTTCTGACACACACGCTACAGCCTTCCTCGCCAGAAACGTGCCGAAGGGGAGGAAGCCCATAAGAAGATGTAGGCTGGACAGTGATCAGAGACTCTTTATGCTTCTACCTGACAGTGCAACCTGCACTACCAGTACATGGCATTATTGCTGACCGTTCTTCCCAAGTCTTGTCACCCTACAAGCATGAATGATGACAGGATGTACAGATAATCAGGTGCTCCAGAAAGACAAGCCCCAAGAAAACACTTGCTGGAGGAACAAAGTACCTTAAGAGTCACACCCCGATACCTGCGGTACAGTAGTTGCTACCGCACCGCACAGGATGGAAACCAGCAGCCCCGCTCAGCCTGCTCTCTGCTCCATCTGCTGACACTCAGTGACGCTGCAGATTTAAACGGTACCAGCTGGGCTTGAGGACTGCGGTGCGGGGACCGGACCACCCTCCCCAGCGAGCACTCAGCCCTGACTCCCCTTGGGGCTCCTGCAGGGACCGTCCTGGACGGCAGCTCATTTAGGTTCTGAGTGATCAGAGAGAGGGGAGCAGTGCACAACCCTGCTCCGTTGGTCAGCAACTATTCTCAGATGATTCCCACCGATGTGATGGGTCACCAGGGAAGCGGCTCTTCCCCTGCAGCTAACTTCTCTGTGGGAAAGGTGAGCAGAACAACAGGAACAATCCCAAAGGAAGTAAACGGGCACCCGCAAAATAACACACGAGCACACAGAAACACTGGGGAGACTGCAGGCAAAGGTGAAGGCTGATTCAGCACCGGCTCCTCAGAGGGAACACTATTTTACCTGCAAAGCAAATGCTGTTATGTTGCTGCAGGGCTGAGCATGACTCCTGCAGAGCCAGCTCTGGGGTTGCTCCCCTAGTAAGCTGAGTTATCTGCAAGTCTCAGCCCGGTGTGTGCAGCACACAGAAGTTGCCTGTATTGGCCTTTCAGCCAAACACAGTGGCCCTGGCAGAGAACGGAACCATGAAAGGGAGCAGCCTACACAAAGGAATGTAAAACACCAGAGCAGAAAATATCGGAAGAAAGGAATTATCCAAATTCCAATGAAATTAATGGTCTGAAAGTTGGTCGTTCCCAAAACAAACATCTAATGTTGGCACTACACCGCAGCTGGCTTCCACATCACAAAGTCAGCCAGCAGCTCAGAATTCTTTTGTCTGAGCTTACATGTATCACAAAGCTATAAAACCGTCCTTCACGCATGACTGTAGGCTTCCAAGCCCAGCAGAGCTCAGGAACCAACAGAACATCTGGATACTATCACAATTTCAGGGTTAAATAGTACAGATTTATTCTGGATTGAAGGAACACATGGTTCTGCTGCTACTGGGCTGACATGTTAGGTTTTAAAGCCTGAGAAGGGTGAGAAGTAAACCAAACATACACAAGGGATTGCTGTTTAAGAAAAAAATGTGTGTTAAAAAATCTGAATGCAAAGTTTACTAGCCTGAAGATCACCTAACATTATTTTTGGAAGACCTGCTTACACTCATTTCCAATAGCTCTCCAAAACATCAAGGAATCAATAGGCAAAGTTCTTTGAAGCTGTAATTCTCTTTCCCAAGAGGGCAGGCAAATTCCCAGGTCAAGACAAGAGATCATTTTACACAGTACTGCTAAGTTCCAAAAGACAAATATACATACTTCCTTTTGCTCCTCAAAACTGCTTTTCCCTGAAGCAGAATATGCTGGAAAGCAACGCCCTGAGCTGCTTCCATCGTGTCTCCTGGTAGGAGAAAGTCCAAAATCTCGTGCTTGTAGCCGAGCATCTTTTAGTCCTTGCCTTCCCCTAGTGTCCCCTGAGATGTGCCCCCAGGGCAGATGGTTACAAACGCTTCCTCTGGGTACTGGCAGGCTCATTTCCCCAGTGCCGAGTCCCCTTCCATAGGTGTCTATGACTACGTGCTCATACTTCATGCAGCACAAGCCCGTTCTTCAGGGTTAGCGAGACACCAGTGCCATGTGCCAGCTCATCAGGAAGACGCAATCGTCTACACGTCACTGCGAGGGCTGCTCAATGCCGAGGACTCCCGGGGTGGTAAAGCCCAGGCCCGTTATTCAGCAAACGAAGCTCCCAATCCTCTTTTTAAGACCATCTCACCCCAAAACAGTGGGAACTTAACTAGAAGGGTGAAACATATACATGAGGATATGCTGCAATTTGCCACTAGGTGTCATTCCAGCTTCATTTTCATTGCGTTAACCAAGTGCAGAAAACAAAAGCGCTCATTTATGGAGATTTTTGCTCTAAATAAGACAGAAGACCAGCTATTCTCGGCTGGGACATGTGCATTTTGTTACCTGTGCATTCTTCCAGGTAATTTAGCAGTAGAGGAAGTCTCCCAAAACCACCACGGGCCAAAATAACTATGACCATTAAGAGCTCAAAGAAGATTTAAAAATTAAGCACAGGAGAAATTCCAGAGAGATTTAAAGTTCTGAAATCCCCAAACAAGGCACTTTCGAAAAGCATAAACTCCTGAGACTCAAGAAAAACAGAGCTGAGATGCACCTGTGGGCAGACATTCACCATAATTCACATTAAAGAGCTTCTTAAGAGGGCAGACTGAAGGCACCTTAACCAGTGCTCAAAATTACAGCACATTGGCTCACTCTCCTTAGCAAATCCAAAGACAAAAGCACCCTAGGATTGTTCTTAACCTTGCATTGTAGTGTTTGGACCTGCACAGCTTTCTGGCCACTTGGACATAGCTCTGCTAGATGCTCCATTTATGCAAGTCACTGTCTGGATAGAGAGGTCCTGCAAATACCGGGGGAAAAAAAAAAAAAAAGGCTTGAACCAAGACTGTTATAATCGAATGGGGAAAGGAGAGCACAAAATATCTATCTCTATGAGCACATTGATTTTTCCATACAAGAGAAAACATTGCATTTATAAAGAGAATTGAAATTCTTTTTCTAGAAAAGATGAAGCCCTTTATGGGACTGACTTGGTCCTTTTTTGGTGCAGTTCCCTAATCAATGTGATGCCTGAGGATCAGAAGCATCTCTACACAACAGAGATGCAACTTGTGGCCATCCCATATTGCTGACATAGCTGAAGGATCCTCTCTTCTGTCAACTAAACCCCTGTTTTTAAAGCATCACTGCAGGAAAACTAACAGTGATTTGAACTTACGTAGCTTCTTGTTTCCAAAAAAATATTCCACCCCAAACTTAAAATAAGCATCACTTACAACTTGCTCAAGGGCAATTAAGAAAAAAAAAAAAAAAAAAAGCTCTTCTTTTGGAAGGCAGAGCAACATGCTTGGTCAGGCCAGAACTCAACACCTCCCCATGTTCTCTTCACCTTCCTTTATCTCCTACAAAGGAAATCATGAAGGAACACGGTGGCTACAGTCCTGTACGAAACACGTGCATGGGAAAGGCCTAGTGGTTAATGGAAAGGTCTCAGATGCTAGAGGTCTTGACTCAGTTCATCAGTTTGACTTACTTGCTTGGGTCAAATACCCATTTTAAGGGGGAAATGTGTTACATAATCTGAGGAGGACAATGAGAACACTTAGTTAGACAATATAGATCAAAGTGGTTATGTGTGATGCTCCAAACTTGCAGAAAGCTGTTACAAATACTGGCTTAAAAACAAAAGCCTTCTCGGGGAGCACCCTGCCATCCCTTAACATGCAGGGTAAGAATCACCGTCCAGTTAATATCTGTCTTGAAGTGGTTGCTGCTTTAAAGAGCTGCTTGCAGTGGAATGATGGGCAGTGAATTGTTTATGGAGAAAACTGTGGTGAGCTGCCTGTTTTGTCCGATAAGACACCTAGTTTATAGTTCAAATACATGGTAATGAAACAGGGAAAACAAGACAAAATGGTAAAAGAAGCAGTAGTAGTCCATAGGGATGGGGGGAAAAAAAAGGAAAAAACAGAAGAGCTTTTGGTAAAACTCTGTGGTATCAGTTAACATTGATACCTGAGGAAAGAGAAGGCTCTGTGATGCAGGATGACCCCACAGCAAAAGGGCAGATCCAGAGTTTCCAGAACGTATGCAACACCATGCAAAGGATTTAGAGTTCACTCTTGCTGTCCTCAGCTTTCCTCACTCATACTCCCCGTAGCAAGTCTGAGAACACCCCTCTGTGCTCACTGCTAATGGGCCATCCTTACTCTGGGGGGGAAGATGCATCCAAAATGCATTTCTTTTTTTTCTTAACACAGAAAACTCAAGTCTTCTCCCTTTGAAGCAGTGATGCTTTGCTGTTTGCTAAGCGAGAGGACTGCGGACAGAGGAGGTTGAGCTCCCTGGAAATACAACTCAGCACTTAAAATCTTGCTGCTGCTAAAACCCAGCAGCACAAACATCAATCCTAGTGCAGAAAGGCACCCAGTGTGTGCAGAGAACGTTCCTCCACCTGGGAGCTGAGAGACCACTTCCTAAAGGCACAGCATGAAGCAAACTTCATATGGCTTCATACAGCAATCTTCAAACTGCAGCATTTACCTTCACTGCCAACCTTGGTTTTGCTGTTTCAGGAGGCCACATGTGCCCTGAGATTGAACACGCCAACAGATTTGCTCCACTGCACTGACAAGTAAGGGATAACAACTCACTGGATGGGTGCAAAGTTCAGCTCTCCAAGCCCCTATCCTCCCCAAAAGGCCCTTCATGAGAGGCCCCCCGCACCATTTCACTTTCCCAGAGTGGGAAAGGTGACACTGGGCAGAACGTGTGTGCAAGGCAGAGGAGTCCTGCAGGAAAATCCAAAGCCAGGGAGCAATACCTGGAACAACCTCAGTTTTGGTGTGCGGAAGCAAACACAGTCAGAAACACTGGTCTGAAGAATGCAAGATGCGCAGCAGGTTGCAGCACCAAAGGACTAAGGCACAACTGCAAGAACAAAGCAAGCACGGCAGGAACTGGTTCTGCTGCACACAGGAAAAGAGCCCCTTCCAGTACAACCGAGTGCTTGCATTTGGTCAGAGTTTGCATCTCAAAGCAAAATGACTGCCCCAACAGTGCTGACCTCTCCCTCTGCCCTTCCTCCCTACTGTCCCTTGCGGCTGCTCTCTAACAACTCCCAAGCTCCCTTCCCCTAGCAGAGCCCTGCTGCAGGACAATTCAAGGACAAGGAACCTCCAGAAAACCTGCCTTTCTGTGCACCATGAAGCTCAAGCAGGATGACTATCCTCTTCCTGCCCCTCCATCAGGAGCACCCAGTCAGGATAAAGGATTCAGACTGTAGCTCCATGCTGACTTCAGTCAGGTTGCCAATTTGCACCGCGACACCTGAGTAAACCTTTGACGTCCTCTTGCCAATGGCAGCCCTTGGGGAAACCTCTCCACTTCGCAGCTGCCATGAAAAACTGCTGCGTGGCATCTCCTCAGCACTGCATCAGGATGAGAAGCTGGTGGGTAGTGGACTGGTGAGTCAGAGCTATCCTAGTTCTAGCTGTATGTGACTCATACCACCTTAACTGCAAAAGAATCACAAAGTCTGACTAAACCAGCTCAAAATTTGTATATATATATAAGATTTTTAAATACATATACACTCCTACATGTGCATACGTGCACACACGTGTGAGCATGTACACACATGCACAAAGTGATTTTGTTTTTAATATGGAAGTGAGAGAAACTTAACACACTAGAATTAATAAATAACTATGAACAACCAAGCTCCTGGGCTATGGAGGGTGCTCTTCTCCTTGTGGGGCTCCTTAATTTGCTTATTACTCGAGGCTCTGAACTTTGCTCTGAGACCACAAGGACTCATGTAAAGGTTTTGCTACTCCATTTCCCGCATTGAGACCCTGTGGCTCAGCTCACACAGGAGTGCTTGCAGGGTGCAGGGCCACCACAAGGTTCCTTTTCCTTCACACCTCATGGTCACAGGGGGACACCTGAAGGAAGGGAGGGAGGAACCTGGATGTTCCTCACTGAGCGTGTGTGTGGCAAAGGGTGCTCCACACCTACACCACAGGGATGGCACCTGGAAAGCCTTCTGGCCGATCCCCCTGCAGTGCTCAGCCAGTGTATTGCTGCTGGTAGCGCAGGTTGACCCGTCCCCCCCCCCGCCGCGACTTGTTGGACTTGGTGGAGCGGCTGGAGCGGGTGGACTGTGCAGACTTGGTGCTCTGGCAGCGGGAAGATGCCCTTTTGAGAAGGTTTTGAGAGATGGAACGATGTAGGTTCTTCATGGAGGAAGAGGCTGCCATGCTCACTACCCAGGGATGCTTCAGGGCTTGAAGGGCTGTCATCCTGTCACTGGGGTCCACTGTGAGCAGACGATCAATGAAATCCTTGGCCAAGTTGGACACACTAGGCCAGGGCTGAAACACAAAAGAGAGGATTAGAGTGAAACATCCTGGCATAACCTTGCTGATCCATCAGTTCCTTATAGTCTTAGGAAAAAAAAAAAAAAAAACAACTTTGGGGCATTATTTTATTTCCAGTCTGTCTTCCATGTTCAAATCCTCCAAGCTGTAACTAACTGACCATGGAGAGTAACACATAGCTACTTCAAGAGACATTCCCAAACTGCCCGTTATAATTCCCTTTTCTCCCCAAAACATATCAGTCAAAATTCCCTGTAGGTAAAATTCAGATGTTTTTAGTTAAAGCAAAACATGTGTTAATTTCTCCTAACGAAGGATCTTTAGGTTCGCACTACTCCTCTTCTACACCAAGGATATGGGAGCATAAAGTGATGCTTTCAGTGCAGAGTGAAGTGAACACTTGCCTGTAAAAAGAGATTTTTCTCTTCTAGTTCTTCATTAACCTGAAGGTATTTGAGAAAAGTCTCTGTTTTTCAACAGCAAGAATAACCCTCATTGGGAAATTCATCATTGCTTCCCTTGTCAGGGCACAATGACGAATCACCATTCAGCCCAGGAACTTCAGCACTTGTACTATATGTGAACAAGTCCTCCTTCAAATTTAGCCCTTCTCTCATCCCTTAATGATGTTACATTTTGGAAGGAGGCATGCCACTGTCCCATGGATTAGGTACCAATTCATAACAGAAAGTTCCCATAACAGTTCGGTATTTTGAAAGCGTCCAAAATGTACTCCCCTCCGCGTTTCAAGAATAAAATCAGTTAACAAAAAATACCATCTAATTCAACCTACTCTACTGTTCCCAAGTATAATTAGTTTGCCATGACCTGGCATTAGATAACTTACTCCGCTGATGAAATGATCTCGACAATGAATGGTAACGAAAAAAAAAATATATGGACTTGTCAGAAAATAGAATATAACTGACTCAATGTTCCCAAGTATAATTAGTTTGCCATGACCTGGCATTAAATAACTTACTCCACTGATGAAATGGATCTCGACAATGAATGGTAACAAAAAAAAATATATATATATGGACTTGTTAGAAAATAGAATATAACTGACTCGCTGAAGTGCTTATTGCTTCAAACATTTATAAGAGGCAAAATAAAATAACAAAAAAGACTTTTCAAATGTAGTAAAAAGCACAATAATACAGATTACAATTACAATTGAGTCTAGTCCTGTGCTGTTGGCTTCTGCCACAACTGTTTGCTGCTGAACTGGAGCACACTGCTTTGAATTATCTTTATTTGCATTATGATAATGTGTGTGAATACTAGTCATAAATGAGATCCTAACACACCTTGCATTGCCCAGATAGATTCATCTATCATCCTGGATCACAGAAGTGATCACAGAGATGTGATACAGCTGCTCTCAAAGGCTGCTTTCACAACAGTGTCAGCCATGATTTTTCTCTCTATTCTCTTCCCAGTTTTTGCAGAAATGTAGTAAAGGGGAGCCGAGAAATAACAGAATTTTGCAGATATTTATAACAATTTATCCAAGAGAAATTTCATCAGAGTTATCACTGGGGAGAAGCAAAGCACAACTGTTCTTAGCCTAACAAGTGTGTTTGGTGTGGTTGCAAAGAATGAGAGGCAATTTGTAGGGTAAGCTATACTGAAATTGAAATTGAATTCAAAGGTGGATTGCAATGAAGAAATGCAGAGAGCGGTTGGAAGAGTTAACGCAGCAGACTTAGGAAAATATTTTTGCAGCAGTATTTTAATGTCTCTTAAAGACAAGTCTGTATATCTCAAAGTTAATAAAAAGATGTAGCAAGGACGAGATGAGAACATAAAAAATATTTAGCCATGCAGAGGGATCATAAAACAGTTATAGTTGGAGGGACTTCTGGAGATCATCTACACCTAAGCCCTATTTTCAATCAGGGTCACTTAGAGCATATTGCCCAGGACCCTGTATAGACAGCTATAGGATCCCATTGGCCTTCTTGGCCACGAGGGCAACTGCTGCCTCATGGTCAACTTGTCGTCCACCATGACACCCAGGTCCCTCTCTGCAGAGCTGCTCTCCAGAAGGTCAGTCCCCAGCCTGTACTGGTGTCTGCAGTTATTTCTCCCCGGGTGCAGGACTTGTTGAACTTCACGAGGTTTCTCACCGCCCAGTTGTCCAGTTATCAAAGCCAATTAAATGCTGGTGACAATTCTACTTTCCTTGCAGTGATATTTTTTGTTAGCAGCTCTTTATTGCCATCTTCTCTACCTCCTCAGTTACCAGCAATTGAGATGACTTAGATAACTTGAAACAGGTTTTGTCCCTCTCAAATGGGAAAACAAATCCAACTGATTCCAAACTGATTTTTTTTTGCTGAATACTTTCTATCATATGTATCTAGTGCATCCTATCAGGATTTCCATTCTCTATTTTTTTTCCCTTAAATACAAGATGCATTCAAATGAACAAAACTGAAACAATACTTTTCACAGAAATACACCTTCAAGAAAGTATTATTTCCCCTTGTGCATATTAATAATCACCTAGACCTGAGACTTAAAGCAACCTGAGAGTTACTTTGTTCAGATGCATCCAAATTTCACAGCTGCTCAACACAGTACAAAAAAATCTGGTAGGTCATGAGAGTCTCTAAAGAGCAGCAATAATATTACTTCACTCCTTTCAAGTCATATTAAGAGCTGGCAAACTTGACAATGTTGAATTTGAAGAAATCTATAAAGCATATGGCAGTTTGACTAAAAAGCTGGAAACTGGGAATAAATAACCCAAATCAGCCTTGAGAAGGGCCGCTGTGTTACACTAGTCCAGTTAGAGCAAAACAAACCAAGAATAAACTCCAAACTAAAGCAGATTGGATTTCTTATTATTCCAATTACTCCAGTTCCACCATAAATGCAGAATAGGGAGGATTTGCAATTAGATTTTTCTTCTGACCAGCAAAAGCAAATCAGGTTATTGATCTGGGTTTTTTTTGTAACTGGAGGTTTCCTTTACCATAGCATACAATTTTATTTCATTGAAGACCTTTCCTGAAACACAGGTAAGACTATGCTTCACTGAAGTACCAAGGGGAACGAATTCAGTATTTTTTTCAATCTATTTTCCAGAAGGTTTGCATCAGTTGATGAAATATCAATTTTAATTTTGTAAAGTCCATGGATCCAGCTGCTTAGGATCCACGGAGGAGACTACTGAAAGGCTGCAGCTGCATTTTGTGCAGAGGCTGAGGAAGGTCAGCACTGCTGTGTCCTGAGAACGCCGAGGAGGACGCGTGCAGTATACAAGGGTCATGCCTCACCTTGGGACAACCACCGTCCATCCGCAGGGAAGAGCGCTCAAGGTGATCCTGCCCCTCTGCTCCTCGCCTTCCATCTCGGCACAAAGTGCAGGGAGACATTGCAGTCCAAGTGCAGCCTCTCTCAGCTTGTCCCTTTCTCTCACTTCTTGTCAGAACAACGTTCTGCTGTGTCAGACATCAAATCAGCTCATGGGGGAGTGACACGGCTTGGGAGGAATATGTTCCCATCCACTGCATCCATTCAAGCCATAGCAGGTAGCCCTACCCTTAACCTCACTGCTGCAACAGCGAATTCCTCTCTTTTGTGGTACAGAAATGTCACAAAAAAATGAGAAGTCTCCATTTGTTCACCCTGTACCCCTGTTACTCCATGAATTGATTTCAAGTGTAATGGAGTTCAAGTATCACACTTGCTGTACTCTTCTTTGAGTAAAAGGTACTACAGTAGTTCTGTTATCTTTCTAAGCATCTTTAAAAAGGCAGAACAATCATCCCCCAAGCAGAACTTCAGCAGTACTTACTGAAGTGGTGACTTTGCAAAGGTGACTGTCTTTTCAAGTACTGGCAAGCAAGTACTTTGCTTAGGAGGCCTGATGCAGCATCCAAATCTCACTTCTCATGATGCTGAACACTGAATGCAGAGTAGCTGTAATGCTGCGAACTACTGGACTTGGTTTGGAGGACTGAACTGGTTGGAAAAACACGTCTGCATTTGTGGGATTTAGCAGAACATTGAGAAATACCATCTGGCAGGAGTCCAAAGAAATAAGAGAGCAAAAAAGCTGCACTAATTAGAAAGCCTGAGGAGCTCACGCTAACACAGGAGTAAGTAGCATCCCTGCAACAAGCAAAGGACACCACAGGATGTCTTCACTCTGGTGCACAGGCTCAGTGGAGAGCAAAGCGACGGTGACCTGTCATCATTTTGCTTTCCACGAGCTCACCACCAAGAAGTGCCAGAGGAGACTCCTCAGCTCATGCTTGCAAGGTGCTCTCCTTCCTGTTTCCCCCACAGGATCAGGACTGGAGTGTTTCCAAGATCCCAGGAAGCCAAATGCAGAAAAGTCTAGAGCTGCTGTTGACTTGAAGCACACCTAAATGAAAAAGAATCCCCACCACAGATACTAACCAGCACAACCCTTCGGGTATGTGCACATCCCTAGGAGTGAGGGAAGAGAGGATGGACTTACTCTAGCGAGTGTGAAGATATCTGAAGGAGAAAACCAGCCAATAATAAACAACACAGTTGGTCTCTGAGATGAGCTGTGCAGTCATCCCTTGCTTCTCTCTTTGGTGCAGGTTTATCCTAGTCAACTGAATCCAAGACGTTAAAATGCCTCTCAGGAAGAAAGGAATACGGGCTGTAAACATGTACATGGATAGCATGTATCTAAGAGCTACCCTTATTAGCAAAATGCCCTTCTTCTCAGAGTGCCTGTCCCCTTGCCTTCCAGGCCTAGATGATGCCTGTCAGCACCCTGCACCTTTATGGATAACCCAGAAGAGGACCACAGGGTCACTCAGATAACACAGGATCACTCTGATAACCTCAGATCTCAGAGGCCACCTCTGCTTTGCTGCCTGGTGAAACTATGAATGGAGCCTGCGATGGCAGCCAGGCACACTTCAGACAGGCACATTTCTTGCATGTGCTCTGCTCCAGTCCAACTCTAGTGTCCTAATTAACACTCATTCCTCTTTGGCAGC